ACGTCGGCTGTCACGTCAGCTCTTCCTTTGGTAGCTAATCGTGCCAGCAGTCCTGAACGAGCTCCACTCATCTGCACTATCCAGAGTTCACACCTCAAGGTCTAGGCGAGAGGCTTCTTTCATCGAAATGACCTCGATCACGTCTTCGGGTATTTCTTCTACGTCTCAACGTTCTTAGAGATAGACTATAACGTAGCTTCAGAATTATAACAATATATTCCGTCGCAATCGCTATTGCATTACTTAGCCCAAAGGAATCACTATACGTCTGTCGATATCCTCAGCGGGTTCCAGAGTCCGTCTTGATTCGTAGACTCTTTAATATTCAGTCGGTGGTAAATCGGGTCTTCATTTCGTGGTAGTGGTTGGTTATCCTTCGGCGTCCGTCAGTTGAGTTTACGGTTGACAATGTGTAACATTCTTTGTCATGAAACAGATCGACTCCTCTGGTGTTCAGGTTGGTTGTAACTCGCCTTTGAACCAAGTTTGTGGGACCTCCACCCAGCATGGTAGGGTTACCACTATGATCATTCTTTACATTGTGGATTTTTAAGCCCATTCACTCTAGCAAAATTGTCAATTGATCTCTATTCAATCCTTTCATCAAAGGATCAGCCAAATTTTCTTTAGACTTCACATAGCCAATGGAAATAATACTATTTGTGATCAGCTGACGTACGGTATTATGTCTACAACGAATATGTCTAGACTTACCGTTATACAAGTTGCTTCGCGCCCTACCTATAGCAGCTTGGCTATCAAAGTGAATCATCACAGGCGGCAAAGTCTTATCCAAACATGGAATATCGGATAAAAATTTTTTAAGCCACTCGGCTTCTTCACCAGCTTTATCTAAAGCGATGAACTCTGATTCCATCGTTGACCGAGCTATACACGTTTGTTTTGTGGATTTCCACGAAACTGCACCTCCTTCAATACAGAAAACATATCCGCTAGTGGAGCGAGAATCTCTCGAATCTGATATCCAGCTTGCATCACAGTACCCTTCAAGTACAGCTGGGTATCTCGAGTATTTTAGCCCGTTTTCAAGGGTGTACCTCAAGTACTTAAGTACCCTTCTCAAAGTAATCCAGTGTTCATGACTGGGATTGCTCGTAAATCTGCTCAACTTATTCACCGGATAGGCCAAGTCTGGTCGTGTACAATTCGTCAAGTACATCAGACTCCCTATTATCCGTGAATGTTCCAACTGAGCCACTGGTTGACCTTTGTTGACTTCCAAATTTATACTGAGATCAAGGGATGTCTTACACCTAGACTGTGCACCGTCATAGGTATCGAATTTCTTGAGAACTTTCTCTACATAATGAGATTATGACAAGACAATTCCATCTTGGGTTCTGATAATCCTTATTCCAAGAATAACATCAGCCAAACCCATATCTTTCATGTCAAAATTTCTCTTCAACATTCTTTTCGTATCCATGATTACTTCATGGCTACTCCCCATGATCAACATATCGTCTACATATAGACATACAATCACAAATGTATTTGATGTACTCTTTACATAAACACATTTGTCACATTCGTTGATTTTGAAATCATTTGTCAACATCACGTAATCAAATTTCAAATGCCATTGTTTCGGAGCTTGTTTCAGTTCGTACAAGGATTTGATCAATCTACACACCTTTCTCTCTTGTCCAGGTGCAACAAACCCTTCAGGTTGTTCCATGTATATTTCTTCTTCCAATTCACCATTCAAAAATGCCGTCTTGACATCCACTTGGTGAATCTTAAGATTGTGCAAAGCAACAATCGAGAGAAGCACTTTTATCGATGCTAAACGCGTAACAGGTGAATAGGTATCAAAGAATTCATATCCTTCCTTTTGTTTAAAGCCTTTGACCACCAATTGTGCTTTAAACTTATCAATGGATCCATCAACTTTATATTTCTTCTTTAGGATCCACTTGCATCCTAAAGGTTTACAACCATCAGGGAGATCAACCAACTCCCAAGTATGATTTTGCATAATGGACTCAATTTCGCTATTTACAGCTTCTTCCCAGAGTGGTCCATCTGGGCTGGACAGAGCTTCCTTAAGGGAACTCGGTTCATCGTCCAACATGTACGTAATAAAATCAGGTCCAAACGTTTTAGCCGTTTTTAGCCTTTTACTACGCCTTGGTTCTTCATTAGTACCCTCTGGTACAGAACCACTAGCAGTTTCATATGTTCGTTTATTAGAACTAGATTCTGCCCTATCCTTCAGAGGAAAAATTTCAAAGAATATAGCATTCCTCGACTCAATCGTGGTACCCACAGATACCTCTGGATTTTCTGATTTATGAACCAGAAATCTATATGATGTACTATTGTGCGCATATCCAATAAATACACAATCGACCGTCTTTGGTCCGATTCTCACTTGTTTGGGTTCAGGTACTGAAACCTTAGCCAAACACCCCCACACTTTCAGGTATTTATAAGATGGCTTACGATTTTTTCACATTTCGTAAGGAGTCTCATCTTTCCCTTTAGGTGGTATTTCATTATGGATATGATTCGCTGTTAAAGCAGCTTCCCCCCACATGTTTTCGGGTAGTCCTGAATTTATCAAATGGCATTCATCATTTCTTTTAACGTACGGTTCTTGCGTTCAGCAACACCGTTAGACTGTGGAGAATAAGGGGCCGTTGTTTGATGAATTATGCCATATTCAGAACATATTTGTTCAAAAAGAGCTACATACTCCCCACCCCTATCACTATGGATTATTTTAATTCTTTTGCCGAGTTGATTTTCAACTTCGGTCTTATAGATCTTAAACGCTTCCACAGCCTCATTTTTGCTTCTTAACAAATATAAGTAGCAAAACCTTGTGCAATCGTCGATAAAAGTAATAAAATATTTTTTACCCGTTCTCGTTTGCACACTTTTCATATCACATACATCAGTATGGATCAAGCCCAATAGTTCAGTACTCCTTTCCACTGAGTGAAAAGTCAACTTAGCCATTTTTGCTTCAATACAAATTTCACATTTTGTATTTGTTTCAACTTTAGAATTAGGAATTAATTCTAATTTCATCAACCGTTTAATTGCATTTAGATTTACATGTCCCAATCTAATATGCCATATATCCGAACACTCAACGGTATAAACAGAAATAGGCTTTTTATTATTAACGGTTACACGCCTCACGGCCATTACATTCATTTTGAACAATCCCTTGTCGAGATAACAACGACCAAGAAATGTTCCATACTTGCTAAGAATAAACTTCTTAGCTTCAAACACAAGCCTAAATCCATGCCCAACAAGAAGTGATCCAGAGACCAAATTCTTACGGATGTCTGGGACATGCAGAACATCCTTCAGCTTCAACTCCTTTCCAGAAGTTAGCTTCAGCACCACAGTGCCCACTCCAGCCACATCAGACGTGGAGGAGTTTCCCATGTGAAGTTTTCGACCCGTAGCAGGAGTGTTTTCAGAGAACACCTCCTTGTCGGAACACACATGACGAGTGGCACCAGTATCTATGTACCACTCCATTGGGTTATCCACCAAATTGGCTTCAAACACCACAGCCGACATATCAAACTCGGTCAGTTCACCCGACACAGGGCCGTGTTCAGCAACAAGGCACTCGGTTGCCCTTTATTTGTCCCAACCTTCTTTGGCCTCTTGCAGTCTTTCGCCATATGGTTTGGCTTTCCACAGTTGTAACACGTTCCAGTAAATTTCCCAACCTTGGCGGGCTGCTTCCCTTTGTTAAGGGGCTTCCTTTTGCTCAAATTGCCTTGCTCCAGCAAGTTCGCACGAGCCTCCATTATCGGGCTTGTTATCATCCGACTCGGTAAAACACAATTAAGGGCCTTGAACAGCATCTTAAGCAAATTTGACTCTAAACACCGACGTACCCAAAGTCATCCCGGTTCGCACAACAAACCGGTACAACCATAAAAGACCGAAGTGATCCCTACCCGCCGAGGTCATTCCGAACCGAGGTCAACACGAACTGAGGTCGTCACCTCCTAAAGCAGGTGACAAGGCGCCTACACGCCCCTCTCACGATCCACGAGATTTGTTATCATTTACGTAGGGCCCACTGGCTCTGCCGCCCATCAAAAGTAGCTTTATAGGAAAAGCAACGCACGGATCCCGATGTATATACCAAAAAGTTACTATAAATAGCTAGCTAATAGTACTTGTACGGGATTCGATTTCGAAAACCGAACTCTTTTATAATGAAACACGAAATAGCCCTCGGAAGCTTTTCACCTCGGTTCACCTCGGACCGGGGCCATTGTTGAGTATTTTATCCATACTTTACGTTCGAATCGATCATCATCATTAAATAAATACAGAATTAAATCGTTGTTAAGAATCATATAACAACAGTTTGGCGCTAGAAGGAGGGCCTCATAAGTAATTTGAGGTTAATCTCCAATTCTTGTGTAGTGATCCACGTCAGTCATATCAATCATGTCTCATTCAGATCATCGTGGTCATACGTCGCGAGATGGCCACAGTCGAAGTGTTGCTCAATCCGCCAGACGACAAGTAGCAGCCCCCAATATACCAGATTACACTGTCCTGTTTCAAAATCTGGAGTTTGCACGTGGGTTTGCCGCCTTGATGGCTCAAACAATCCCTGGAACATCAACGACTGCACCGGGACATTCCATAATACCCACGACTCCCGCAAATCCGCAGAATCCACCGGTGCGACAAGACGGCGGAAGAACCACTTCTCACGCCACATCTCAACCTCGCAGTCGAACGTCGTAGCCGCCTCCAGAACAAACCACACGTCGCACCGATGTTGGACGCAATCCCCTCATACTTCCTCATGAAGAAACCGCCGAAAGTCAGTCTGGACATTCCCGGCGGTCACCGCCTCACGGGCGACACCGAATCCCCTCTAATCCAGCACAAACTTACCTTCGTCAGCATATTGAGAGAAGTCGAGCTCGCCAAGAATCATCCGAACTTGAAACATTGTGACGAAGAATCGCCGAGTTGGAAAGTCGGCAAAGGATGCCCGAAGACCCCCCTCGGCGGACCTCGACCTCGACACAAGTATATCTGGAAGCCGACTCTCCTCTCACACCAGATCTCACTTCGGAACCTGTACCTGGAAAAATTAAAGTTCCCCAAATTGGATTATACGATGGGACTTCGGACCCCGACTCACACCTCGGTCACTATACTTCGTGGATGGATCTGCATGGGGCCTCAGACGCACTTCGATGTCGCATGTTTTCTCTTACGTTAGGACCTCGGGCTAAAAAGTGGTACAATTCTTTTCCTCCTCATTCTATTTGGAAGTGGCAACAGCTGAGGTCGGCTTTCCGATCTCATTTCATCGGGGCCCAAGTATGTTTAATTCCGAAAGAATCCCTTGCAAACGTAACTCAAAAAGATGATGAAAGTGTCAAGGACTACATCGCTCGATTTAACGACCGAGTTCAGAATATAGAGCCTTGTCATCCTGAAACCTTGCTTGTTATGGCTATCGTCTGGCTGAAACCGAACTCGATTTTTCGCTGGACACTGTGTCAGAATAAGCCAAACACCTTCCAGGAATTTCTTGCCCGAGCTCAACAGCACATCATTGCCGAGGAAGCCATGTCGGTACCCGACTTTAGTTTTAACCCGAAGTCTTCTAAGACGGGAACCGACGAGAAGAAGAAAAATAAATTTTTCGATAAGCAAAACAAGGCTCAATTTAGAGGACCTCCCCGAGGGGATGCCAACGATCCTGAAGTTCGAGCAGCCCGAAAAGAGTATGCTACCGACGTGAAATCCGGTTATCAAACCGTGTATTCGACTGGGGCTGCCACCATATACAAAAAAATTAAAGGGAAAGGTATCTTGCCAGATCCCAAGCCACTTCGGATGCCCGAGGAGAAATTAGACAAATCCCGATATTGCGATTACCATAAATCGCCAGGGCACAATACTGATGAATGTTTAAGTTTGTTAGCTGCCTTGTTGCGCTTAATCGGTCATCCGTAGCTCAGAAAGTTCTATCGCAATGCTGATCCCCAGAAACGAGGCCCAGGGCGCCAAATTGAATCTTATGATGAAGACGGCGAGGAGGATCGAGGGGTTATGCCAAAACGCATCCGACAAGGAGACAAGGAAGTATTCATGTTCACCTCGGAAACACCCAATCCTAACTCCGCTGGAACTTCCCGAGGACGCAAGCGAAGCCGATCTCCTAGCCCGATGCAAATCACCGTTCACCGTGTAAATACCAACAACACCCAAAGTACATTATCCCGTCGGCAAATCAAGGCCTACGCCCGACAAGCTTACAACTCCAACAAACAAGTGTATACTACCGATTTGAGAGACATCCTCAATAATCGAAACTGTCCCATAACCTTCAATATGGAGGATGCCAATCATTTCGCACACCCTCACTCTGATGCGCTTGTTATCACCGTCCCTATATGTGGGATTCCAGTACATCGTGTTATGGTAGATACTAGAGCCTATTCAAGCATTTTGATGCTAAAAGCCTTTGATAAAATGGGACTTGATCCTGCGGATATCCGACCTTGTAATGACCAAATACAGGGGTTTAACGGAAGTATTTCAAAGCCCATCGGCGAGATCACTTTACCTGTCAGATTTGGCACTTCGGAGAATGTCACCAAGCTCGTCATGGAAACTTTCAAAATCCTCGACATCAACAACGAATATAATGCGATCATCGGAAGAACAGCTCTGTACAAGCTCCGAGCCGCAGTTTCAATTTTTCATTATGCGTTGAAATTCCCGACTACACGAGGAGAAGGGACACATTTCAGAGACCAAAGAGAAGCTCGAGAACTTGTTACTTTCATACCATCCAGCAGAGTCTATTCCACCACTTCGGGTAATGGCGAAAATTCCCCACTACAGAACACCTCGGATGACACAGTTTCCGAGGAACCGAACCACAACGCCGTTGTTCCTCCCACCTCGGATCTTTTATCTGAAGACCGAGGTAGACGGCCCGGAAAGGAGCCACTCCTTGAAGAAGACGAGTTGGATCCAAGGGCCCAATTCAAAGAGAAAAGTCGAAGTGATCGAGCCGAACCTGGAGAAGACGTAGAATTGATCTATATCGACGAACCAGTCTTCCACAAATCGTTGCGCATTGGAAGTCATCTTCAAGAGCCTCTCCGGTCAGAACTTATCTCATTTCTCAAACATAATTCTGACGTGTTTGCTTGGAAGCATGAAGACATGAAGGGCATCGATCCTGGTGTCGCTAGCCATAAATTGAACCTCGATCGAACTGTCCGGCCAATTGTGCAAAAACGAAGAAAATTGGGACCGGATCGTCAGAAAGCGTTGGAAGAGGAAGTTAAGAAACTCATCGACAACAAGTTCATTAAAGAGGCCAAGTATCCGACATGGGTCTCAAACTCCGTTCTCGTCAAGAAAAGCAATGGCCTGTTGAGGCTGTGTATCGACTTTTCCGACTTGAATAAAGCGTGCCCGAAAGACAGTTATCCGCTCCCTCATATAGATTATATGGTTGATGCCACATCGGGACACGAGTTGATGAGTTTTATGGATGCCTACTCCGGTTATAATCAAATTCCTATGGATCCCAAAGATTCCGAACACACCTCGTTCTATTTAGCACGGGGCCTGTACTGCTATACCATGATGCCATTTGGATTAAAAAACGCTGGGGCCACTTACCAATGCCTTGTCAACAAAATGTTTGCTAATATGATAGGTCATACTATGGAAGTCTACGTAGACGACATGCTCGTCAAATCGGTGCACGCGTCTGATCACATAACACACCTTCAAGACATGTTCAATATCCTCCGATCTTATTCTATGGTTTTAAATCCCAAGAAGTGCACCTTCGGATTTGAGTCTGGAAAATTTCTGGGCTATATGGTCAGCCAACGTGGAATTGAAGCCAACCCGGTCAAAATAAAAGCCATTCAAGATTTGACTCCCCCAACCTCAGTCAAGGGCGTACAGGCCCTAACTGGCCGACTTGCTGCACTCAACTGATTCATCTCCAAATCCACAGATCATTGTAAACCTTTTTTCGAAGCAATCAAAAAAAGAAAGCGCTTCGAATGGACCGAAGAGTGTCAAAAAGCGCTCATTAGCATTAAAGAAACTCTTGCTTCCCCACCGACATTACAGAAACCAAAACCCGAGGAGATGCTGTTCTTATACCTCGGAGTCAGCGATTCAGCAATTAGCGCCATCTTGATACGTGAAGAGGGGATGTTGCAGTCACCCATTTATTACGTCATCAAGGCCCTACATGATGCCGAGCTACGCTACCCCCCTATGGAGAAGTTGGCGTTTGCACTTGTTATTGCCGCCCGGAAATTGCGACCTTATTTTCAAGAACATTCTATAACTGTCCGCACTTCATATCCACTGTGACAAGTCCTGCACCGACCTGACACCTCGGGACGCATGACAAAATGGGCAATTGAACTCGGACAATTCGACACCCATTATCAACCGAGGACCGCGATCAAGGCACAAGCCCTATCCGACTTCATCGCCGAATTCACCCCGGCTATAAAAGTTCATGATGACAACCAGCCGTGGGTTCTTTATATTGATGGTTCTTCAACAGCAAACCGAGCAGGCGCAGGAATAGTCTTGGCGAACCCAGAGAATCGGTTGTTCTGCCATTCAGTGAAATTCCTTTTCCCAGCAACCAATAATGAAGCCGAATATAAAGCTTTGCTATCCGGATTGAATTTGGCTGAATCCATGAATGTAAAACATCTCAAAGTCTTTTCAGATTCCCAACTTCTTGTCAACCAGATCAACGGATTGTATGAAGTCAAAGAACCTCGGTTAACACCATATCTGTCCCTGGCAAAGAGGAAATTATCAAAGTTTTCCGTCGATGTTGAACACATTCCTCGGACTCTTAATGTTCAAGCAGATGCTTTGTCTCGTTTAGCCTCAAGTACTGGGATGGAGAGCATGGAGTATGTCCAAGTCGGATAGCAGGAGCAACCGTCGACCCTCCTTTCTGAAGTCGCGGTCATAGATCCAGTGACATCGCCAAAGCCACCGACTTGGATGGATCCCATTATTCAATATTTGGAAACAATGGGCCTTACCTCCGAACCCAAAAGAAGCTCGGGCACTTCGGATTCGAGCAGCTCGATACACACTGGACAATGGAACTTTGTTCAAAAGAGGATACTCTGTCCCACTCTTAAAATGTCTAACTGAATCTGAATCACGATATATTCTCGAAGAAGTGCATGAAGGGATCTGTGGAAGTCACCCCGGTGCACAAGCCTTATCTTATAAGATTCTGCGGCAGGGATATTACTGGCCGACCTTAAAAAGCGATGCCGCTGCATGGGTCTGCAAATGTCCGAAGTGTCAATTGTTTGCACCTAATATCCTTCAAAATCCTGAAGAACTCAAATCGGTCTACAGCCCGTGGCCTTTCGCCAAATGGGGGATCGAACTCATAGGTCCCCTACCGACCGGAAAAGGTGGCGTCCGATTTGCCATAGTTGCAGTTGATTACTTCACTAAATGGGCTGAAGCCGAACCTTTGGCCACGATAACTGAACAAAAAGTCGTGGACTTCGTATGGAAGTCTATCATTTGCCGCTTCGGAGTACTGAATTCCATTATCACTGACAACGGTCGACAGTTTGAAGGTAAGCGGCTTGAATCTCTTTGCGAAGAATATAATATCAAACACTTCTTTTCTTCGCCCTACCATCCACAATCCAACGACCAAGTCGAAGCTGTCAATAAGCTCATAAAAAATGGCCTCAAAGTCCGACTTGATGCTGCCAAAGGAGCTTGGCCTGAAGAGTTGCCTCACGTCCTATGGGCTTATCGAACAGCTACTAGGACATCCACCGGCGAAACTCCATTCTCGCTAACTTACGGCTCGGAAGCCGTGATACCAGTCGAACTCGGTGAACCGACTTACCGAATTTAACATTTCGCCGAAGAGTCCATCTCGGATAACCTGAAAGTTAATCTGGACCTGCTTGAAGAACATCGCACTCGAGCCGAACTCAAAAATGCCGCTTACAAACATAGAAGCGAGAAGTACGTCAATTCTAAATTCAAGCCACGTTCATTCCGGGTTGGTGATCTAGTCCTCAAACGTGTAATGGGGCCTGACCCCGGTCCATTGAAACCGAAGTGGGAAGGACCTTTCCAGATCATTGAAGTCCTACCCCATGGGGCCTACCGAATAGCTCATCCTGATGGAACTCCACATCAATATCCGTGGAATGCCGTTTTTCTAAAGAAGTTCTATCAATGAATAGTCTGAAGTCGGGAATCGGACTCTCTTTTTGAACGGACCTTCTTTTTTGCTTCGCTGAAGGGACGAAGTGACTCTTTTGTTGTAATGGAAGTTCAAAAACTTTCACTTTTTAAATCCGAACAGCAGTTCGGTACCGATGTAAAATTTGAAACTCGGTTATTTTAATATTTTGTACCGATGTAAGACATTACGACACTCAGTCTCGCTGATACCCCGTAATCTATCCAAACCCTACGCATGCTTTGGTTGGGGTTGAGGCTCGTCCACGTCATTTCAGCGTACATGATTTGACGGGTCCCGATAATTACCGAACATAAACTAAACAAATCGGTTGGGGCCATTTCATAATCGAACTCTGACGAAGTTCGGTGAACTCTATTTTGTTTTACGTACGGCTCAAAATGTGATAAGTGTTGCGAATTCTTAATAAGTTCGCATACCGACTTACACTAGTAGCCGAAGTCATTAAAAAAGATCATTGTGGAACTCGGAACTTATCTTTATCAAAAAAGCCCACAACTCGGTTACTGATATAAATAAATCTGAGTTGGGACAATCCATTTTAAAATCCGTACCGAGTTCAGTACACTTGGTCTAAACTTGCTGAAATTTGCACAACAAATACAAATAAAGATTGAAATTATACCAACACTTCGAATTTATATTACAAA